GCTCCTGCTGGAAGGGGCGCCGCTTCTCCCGACAGTGCTTCTTGTGGGCGGGCCAGTCCTTCTGCTGGCACTGCGAGCCGCAGTACCGGGCCACCTGGCAGCGCCCGCAGATGTTGAACTCCCGGAGCTGAAAGCAGAGCAGGTGGCCTCTTGGTCCCGTGGAAGGACTACCTCCGATGGGAGGACCTGGCCCCCGGCCCCGCGGCTGAGGAGGCCCGAGGGGCCCAAGGGGACGGGAGTGGAGCGGCCGTACCTGCTTCTCGATCATCGTGCAGGGCGGGTAGTGGCACTCGTAGTAGGTGCAGGAGCTCTCCTCCTCCTCCACCACGTCCCCGTTGGCGTTGTAGTACCGCGTGGCGCTCAGCGCGGGGAACTGCTCCTCGATGGGGTCCGTGGGAAGCTGCTGGATTGCGAGCCAGTACAAGCTCTGCTCCCTGAAGGAGAAGGGGCCCAGCTCCAGGCACAGGGGAGGAGGCAGGACCCCAGGATGGCCACCTGTGTCCTCTTGCTCAGGAGACCCCACCCGCACTGTGGGCTCATCTCCACGTGACCCACTTTGTAGCACGTGGTCTCCCCACTGAAAGGCACAGAGCAGGGCTGGGTCTCCTGCACGAGGGCCACGCAGGCATAGGACCCAGCCTCAGGACCCAGCCGAGCCCGCCACCCGAGCTGGCAGGCAGTCCCCTCCCTGCTCAGGGCCCCAGCAGTGCCTGCTTCTGCCTCCGGTTGCTCCTCCTGCCCCGATGCTGTGCTGCCCCGCCTCCTTCTAAACACCGGTCTGTGTGAGTGGACAGCAGGGCTGCAACCGGGCTCCAGAGCGAGGCGCCCTGACAGGCAGCACCGTGACCTTCCAGAGAAGTTTAACCCCCAGGCCTGTGGGGATTCGGGTAAAAGAAGGAAGGGGCCCTGGCCAGTGTGGCTCAGTGATTGAGCATCGACCTAGGAACCAAGAGGTCACTGGTTCGATTCCCAGTCGGGGCACATGCCCGGGGTTACAGGCTTGATCCCCAGTGTGGGGCGTGCAGGAGGCAGCCAGCGGGTGATTCTCGCTCATCATTGATGTTTCTATCTCTGTCTCCCTCTCCTTGTATTTTTGTAAAAATCAATGAAAACATTTTTTAAAAAAAAAAGAGGAAAGGGAAGGGTCACCCTCACCTAACACCATACACAAAAATTAACTCAAAATGAACCAAGGACCTAAACAAAAGACCTCAAACACAAGATCTCTCAGACTCAAACACAGGACAGAAGCTGCACTACCTTGACTTGGCAACGATTTCTTGGATATGACACCAAGCCACAGGTGACAAAGAGAAAACAGACACACTGGACTTCACAAAATCTAAAAATTTTGTGCATCAAAAGATACTGTCCAGAGTAACCCACGAAACGAGGGAAAGATTTGCCAACCATAGGCCTGATCATGGATTACAGAGGACATGAAGAACTGCAATTCAACAAAATAACACAATTTTCAGGCAAAGAATCTGAACACACATTCTCCAAAGACATACAAATGGCCCAAAAGCCCATGAAAATATGCTCAACATCACTCCTGTCGGGAAAATGCAAAACTACAATGAGATACCGACTCACACCAGCCATGGCTGCTATTAAAAACAAACAAACTACCCTGACCGGTTTGGCTCAGTGGATAGAGCGTTGGCCTGCGGACTTGGGGGTCCCAGGTTCGATTCCGGTCAAGGGCATGTACCTTGGTTGCGGGCACATCCCCAGTAGGGGGTGTGCAGGAGGCAGTTGATCGATGCTTCTCTCTCACTGATGTTTCTAACTCTCTATCCCTCTCCCTTCCTCTCTGTAAAAAATTGATGAAAAATATATTTTTAAAAAAACATACTTTATTGATTTCAGAGAAGAAGGGAGAGGGAAAGAGACAGAAACATCAATGATGAGAGAGAATCATTGATAGGCTGCCTCCTGCATGTCCCCCACTGAGGACCAAGCCTGCACCCCAGGCACGTGCCCTTGACTGGAATCAAACCCAGGACCCTTCAGTCTGCAGGCTGACGCTCTATCCACTGAGTCACACCAGCCAGGGCTCTTTCCCTTTTTGTTTTTAATTTATTGATTTGAGAGAGAGAGACAGGAAGGGGGAGAGAGATACATGTCTTGTTCCACTTATTTGTGTATTCATTGGTTGAGTCTGTAGGAAACTTGCCCATCAGGCCAATGCTCCAACCCAGCAGTCGCCAACCTCTCGGACCTCACAGACCACCAGCGATCCGTGGGCCACCGGTTGTCGACTGACCTATCAGCCAACTGACCTATCAGCCAGGGATCTGTCACTTTCAACCAAAAATCTAGGAGGATAACTATTACAGAAGGGTCAGTTTCCCTCAAGATCAGGGAATTTTAGGGCCATTCTCTATCATCAGAGGAGAGAACGCAGAGGCTTGGCCCCAGCCCTGCCCCTCTCGTCCTGAGCGCCTGGGGACCACCCCTACACCTGGCCTCTGCACCCTGCCGCTCCCACGTCCGCAGCTCAGGCTCTGGCAAGACCGTGAGGATGACAACTGCGCAGTCACCGTCTCACTGACGTCTGTCTGCTGGGAGTCACCACCACCGCCGGGAACAGCTGCCCAGAGGCCTGAGGACACGCAGAAACCCCAGGGAGCCCTCTGAGCCTGGAATGCACCTGTGGCCAGAGACACCCTGGCTCGTGTCAGCAACCAGTGTCAGCTCCCAGCCCCTGTCCTGCTGCTGGTCCCCCCGCTCTTCCAAGGGCTCCACGAAGCTCAGAGCTGGACGCCCCCCGGGCCACAGGAACTGCCCTCAGAGCAGCCTTCCCACCAGGCGGATGCCTGCGCTGTCCTGAGGTAAGCGCTGTTTGCAGGACTCAGAGAGGAGAGCACGCCCCCAGTCCACGCTGCCTGCTTCCCTCAACCACTGCGTAAACTGCTGGGCAAGGAGCGTGACAGAAAGCCCCGTCTGTGTGCACAGCGAGCTGCAGACACCTCACCTGCCTCGGGGACAGGGCGCAGTCCTGCCACCTGCAGGCGTCCAGCCCAGACAACGCTGCTCCCGACAGCCCGTCATCGGTGACCCTCCCAAGGAGAGAAGCATCAGGACCTCACCCGCCGCCAAGAACAGGAGGTCCCCCCACGTCGAGGGACAACAGCAAGGTCCCTGAACCCCAGCAGCATCAGAGCAGAGCGGGGGCGTGGGCCTGGTGACGAGAGCGGGCGGTCCTCAGCGCCGCCCTGCCGCCTGGCCAGCTGGGAAGACCCACCTCTGTTTGCTGGAGGTCTCCTCCGCTTTGGGCCGCCAGCCCCACGGCACCAGCTGCAGGTTGTCCAGGCGATTGTCCACGGTCACCGCGTTGAGATGCACAACCTGGAAGCCGGGAGCGATGCCGCCCCTGTGCCGCTCCCTAGAGACAAACACTCTTCGACCCGCCTCCAGACAGCCCCACGTGTCCGCCACGCGATCTGAACTGCCCCTCGCACACTGACGGGCACAAGCCAGGAGTGACGATGCCCAGGGGACCCCAGGGTGCCAGTCCGTGGCCCAAACAGGACCAGACAGGTTGACAGTTTAGCCCTTGGATGGAAGAGCTGGGTGGGCTGCAGGGAGCCAAGGCTGGAACCCCAAGCCCTGCAGCACAGTCTAGAGACGCCCCTCTGAGCAGCCCCCCTGTGCACACCAAGGAAGGCCGCCGCTTCCCCACGTCAGCGAGAGCCGGCAGGCATATTAGCATAACCAATGGACACAGACACTGGGGCGGTGGGGGCTTGCCCGAGGTGGGAATGGCTTGGGGGGGTGTCAATCGGGGGAAAAAGAAGACACATGTAAAACTTTAGACAATAAAAAAATAATAAAAAAGAAAGAGCCGGCAGGGACCAGACCCCACCCACCCTGGGAGCTGCGAGCAGAAGAGCACGTGGTCTGGAGACCTAGGCGGCCGCTG